TTGGTTTTTTGAGACAGGGTCTCACTATGTAGTTGAGACTGACCTGGAATTCACTATGTAGCCCAGGCTGGTCTCGAACTCAGCGATTCTCCTGCCTCAGCCTCCTGAGTGCTGGGATTACAGGCATGCGCCACCACGCCCGGCTACTGTGACTAAGTTTTAAGTCTTTAAATTTTAGAGAGAGAGAGAGAGAGATAGTGATATATATATATATATATAGTAAGATACTAAGAAATGATTCAGACATACTAAAGTTATATAACTTTCTGAGGTTTAACTTAGAATAAACGAGCAGGGGAATGGGAAAAAATATTAATGATTGTTCACGAGTTGGTTGGTTAAAAAATGAGTTGATGGTGATTCATTGTTATTTCTACTTTTATATGTTAGGGATTTTCCATAGAATAAAAAGTTTTTTAAATTTATAATAGGAGCCAGACATGGTACAATACATCTGTAATCTCAGCACTCAAAGTCTGAGGCAGGAAGATTGTGAGTTGGAAACCAGACTGGGGTACATACTGAGACCTTGTCTCAAAAAACAAATCAAAATAGGAGCTGTAGCTCAGTGGTAGAGTATGTGCATAGCAAGCTCAAGGCCATGTTCAATCCCTAGTGAAAAAAAAAAAAGTTATATTAGCAACAATAAATTTATATTAACAGAACAACATATTTCTGTTCTGAAAAAAAATCGCATAGCGTGCTGCAGTACGTTTGTTTGATATGCCAAGAGAAATTCTGGAGAAACATTTCAAGAGTTCTATATTTATGCCAATAACATTTTACCAGAGTAGTAATAATTTTACTGTTTCTTTAGAGTTTCACAAATATGTGGAGTTTGATTTCCTTATCAAAGGCCAGTTTCTACGAATGCCCTTGGTCAAACATATGGAACTGGAAAACATCTCATCGGTAAGTTCATGACTATCTTCTGTACTTTCAATTATCAATTATCATTATCACTTCCACTAAGTGATGCACCTTACTTATTAATACCTTATATAATCAACCTGAAACTATCTTTAGCAACCAACATTTTTTGATTATAGCCTTTTCCTAGAAATTTGAATTTCAGTTCTATATATTCAATTTTTAAATCTCTCTTATGAGAGTATTTTATTCAAGAAAATACAGGTGAATTAACACATTTTTCATATTTTTGAAAGAATGTGCAAGAAAGGGAATACCAAATATATGTATACTACTTGACAGGAGTAAAAAATAATTGTGCACATATAAAAACTAGAAGCTAGACTTATTGTGATTTGTTGTGATTCTTCCTCTAATTTTCAAAGTTTCCTTAATACTGCTCTTATAACTAAAAAAATATAATTTACAAGCTAGGCATGGTGGCACACATCTGTATTCCCATTATTTAGAAGGCTAAGACAGGTGGATCATTGTGAGTTCAAGGCCAGCCTGAGCTACATAGTAAGACCCTGTCTCAAACAAACAAATAAACAGAAGTATATATATGTATGTATATAATTTACGAGCCAAGTAGGGCACATGTGTATAATCCCAGGCTGAGGCAGGTGGGTCAATCACAAGTTTGAACTCAGCCTGGGCAGTATTTCTGAGGTTTGCTTTAAAATAAACCAACATTATTTTAACTTTAAAATAAACTTAATGAGACCCTCTCCCAAAATCAAAATTTAAAAAATGGCTGGAGAATCTAGCTCAATGCAAAGACATTTGTTTCAGTCTCCAGTAAGGGAGGGGCAAGTATGGAGAGAGAACAAGTTGTGATATGATATATACAACATAAAATTTACCATTTTGAAGTAAACAATTCAGTGCCATGAAATACATCATAGTATTGTATAACAATTACCACTACCCATTTCCAGAACTGTTGCATCATCCTAAATAGAAGCTCTGTACTGACCAAACAATATGCTTTTATGATTTTTAAAAATTTTATAGTTTCCTGATATTTTTCCCATGTACTCTTTTAGCATAAGTTTTCCAAGACTATCGGTTTTCTTCTTATTACTCTTAGCATACTGTTAGAACAAATAAAGTTTTTGACTTTTTGAATGGTTCCCAAATTTTCTGGATTATAAAGGGGACTTATATGAAGGAGATACATTAAATTGGGATACTATTACAGATATAATGCTTTATCTGTGTAATATTTTAAAACTGTACCACCTGATTAGCTTCTGGTTTCTTTCTTTGATTAGGAAGAAGTTGTGGAACTAGAATATGTGGAGAAATACACTGCCCCCCAGCCAGAGCAATGCATGTTCCATGATGACTGGATCAGCTCAGTTAAAGGAGCAGAGGAATGGTACTGCCAGATGAATGTTGTGTTTTCTTCTACAACTCTTCAGTCTTTTAAAATCTACTATGTGTTCTTTGTAAAAGTAATTTTGCTATATATAGATCAGTGGTCAGGCCAACAGAGTGATCTTTGCATTCATTGTATTCAAAAAGAAAGAAGTAATGAGCATGGTGTTGTGTGCCTATGATACTATCTACTCAAGAGGCTAAGGCATGAGGATTACAAGTTTGAGACCAGTCTGGGAAACATAGCAAGATCCTGTCTCATAATAAATGCATAAAAAGGGCTGGGGTGTAGGTCAGTGCAAAGGTCCTAGGGTGCAAAATAGATGTTTTTCTTTTCTTTTTTTCTTTTTTTGGTACTGAGGATCAAACTTGGGACCTTGTGCTTGTGAGGCAGGTGGTGGAACCACTGAGCTAAATCCCTGGCCCTAGGTTTTCTTTTCTGTTTCAAGATATTGTATTTGTGTTCTGTATAAGTTCTTAAAGCATTTAATTTATTTGGTTTATATGGTTGGTTGAATATATAGTTTATTTCATAAAGGAAAAAGTAACTTTCATAGCCAGATCTCCTGGCCTCCTACTATGAAGATGTGGATCATAATATTTTAGGGCTAAAATGGTCAAACTAGAAATCAAATAAGAAAGTGTGAGTGTCTCAGACCAAATACCTGCTGTTCTTACTTGTATAAAAACACCTGAAGAGTGGATCAGAAGAGGAGCTTTCTTTCAAAGAATGAGTCTGTAATCATTACACAAAGTTAATGTTTTTTGTTTTTTTTGTTTTTTTTTGGTGGCGGGGGGATAGAACTCGGGTCGTTGCACTTGCAAGGCAGGCGGCGGAACCACTGAGCTAAATCCCCAGCCCCCAAAGTTAATGTTTTAACTTTTATAGTTTTACTTTAAATGGTTTTACTGGGGGTTTTTGTTTGTTTGTTTTGTTGTTTTCTGGTGTTGGGAATTAAACTCAGGGCCTCGTGCATGCTGCACACTCAACCTTGTTTTTCCCTTGGTTTTCATTGTTAATTACAAAGGACTGTTAGGTTTTATAAGCAATTTGCATAGCTTTCCTGAGATTTGTAATCAATGCGAAAGTAAAAGTTAAATCTAGGGATTATCAGTTATTAGTTTTTAAACTCAAGTATAATATTGAATCTAGTCTGATGTATTTTGAAATCTTGATTTTCAAGTGAAAAAAAGTTTAAAAGTATAATTTCCAAGGTTTTCATTGTGATTGTCATAGAAACATAATTGATTTTTAGGACTTGAAAAAAGTCTTTCTTGTATTTCACAGGGTTTTGTTTTGTTTTTTTAATACCAGCGATGGAACTCAGGACCTTCTGCTTACAAAGAAGGCATGGTGCTACTGAGCTAAATACCTGGCCCCCTTTTTTTTTTCTTTCGTTCTAGGATCTTAACTGGTTCTTATGATAAGGCTTCTCGGATCTGGTCCTTGGAAGGAACATCAATAATGACAATTGTGGGACATGCAGACGTTGTAAAAGACGTGGCCTGGGTGAAAAAAGGTAGGACTCTTTGCTCAAATCAAGAAGAATTCTAGGTAAGGATTTGCAAATACATAAGCCATTTCCAAATGCAGGAGAAGAATGGGGAGTGGGCAAGAAGTGGCTCATGCCTTGATTATTGTGAGGTCTTTCAAGCATAGAGTTTTCAAGAAGAAAAGGATCGTTTTTTAAAAAATCTATAGATTGGGCTGGTTATTTAGCTCAGTGGCACTGCACTAAGTTTGATCCCCAGTACCAAAAAAATAGTTATAGATTGATGTGGCTAGGGATGTAGCTCAGTGGCTGCCTGGCAAGCACAAGGACTTGAGTTCGATCCCCAGTACCGGAAAAAAAAAAAATCTATAGATTGATGAAAATAAACCTTTACTAAAATTATATGATACTGTATACATTTTCAAATGTATTAAATGCATGTTTTATTTTTCTTGTTTTTTAGAGTTGATTTGTGGGGTGGCAGGTACCAGAGATGGAACTTGGGACCTTGGGGACCTTGAGTTTGTAAGTCAGGCAGCACCACTGAGCTAAATCCCTAGCCCTGTTTTTGTTTCTTGAAACAGTATGTCGTTCAGGCTGGCCTTGAACTCACTGTGTAAGCCCAGGTTGTCCTGGAACCCTGTCGTGATCCTCCTGCCTTAGCTGGTAGCCCTGAAATTAGAAGCATGTGCCATAATATACCTTCTGTGTTTGAAGGAATTTTCCTTTATACCTTTAGCTTTTCTATAAAAGATGACCATATGAGCCCTTTTATCTTTTTAGCACCTGCAAAAAGTTTGGATTCTTTAGTGTAAATTTATACTTTGGAACTAATTTGTTTTTTCTTTGCGCATTCTTTCCCAGACAGTTTGTCTTGTTTACTCTTGAGTGCCTCTATGGATCAGACTATTCTCCTATGGGAGTGGAGTGTAGAGAGAAACAAAGTAAAAGCTCTTCATTGTTGTAGAGGCCATGCTGGAAGTGTGGATTCTATAGCAGTTGATAGCTCTGGAACTAAAGTAAGTAGTGTGTTACTTTAGAATTTAAGCACCATACTAAAACTTCCTTCTATGTATAGTACTATGACTGTCCTACTTTAAAAACAGTCAGTACCTAGAGAATATGATTTCAAACCCAAAGTAAATACTCTACTCATATAATAAGAGATATAAAGACTTAACTCCAGAGTCTGGATTATCTCTGACTCAGAACTTTATATAAATTGCAAAATTTTAACAAACTCAAAAGTGAACAAGGAATTTCTTTTGTAACCTTCTTTTTTTGTTTTTTGAGACAGTCTCACTGTGTAGCCCAGGCTGGTCTCAAATTCGCAGTGATCCTCCTGCCTCAGCCTTCTGAGTGCAGGGATTATAGGCATGCCCAGCTTTCTTTTGTAACCTTCTTAAATCATAGTGACATATTTTTAATCTATCAGCCACTCTAACCATTGTCATTAGTTTAAAATGGTTAAGCAACCATCTGAATTTTAGCATACTATCAGTGCTGATCTATTCTTTATCCAGACAAAATGGTAAATGTTAAAAGGACACCGACCTGAGGGAAGTACGGTATTGACTTGTGAGGAGTTACAAACCCTCTTATAGTTTGAAAGTTCCCTGAGCCATACTGAAGTATTCTGGATTTAGCAGTGTTTCCTTAGTAGTTCTTTGCCAGTGGGAATAATAGCACATTTGATACATTTAATATTTCATAGTTAGCCAAGAAGTGTTTATTTCATGTAATTAACTACATCTTGTCTTTTTGTTATAAAAGGCAGAAACTCATCTTTAACTTGCTTAAGATTAGGAGAAAATTTAATTGGGGTGTGATATCCAAAGAAACAACTACATCATGCAAATAGTGATGACACATTTAGGCCTCTGGGACCAGTGGATGTGGCCACTATACCCTCACTCTCTCTTATCTCCCCAGATCAACTTTATTTTCTCACCTCAAACTGGCTTTCTCCACAAGGCAATAAACCTACACTTCAACATTTCCCAGATTTTACATCCTATACTGTCTGTTCCTGGAAAAAGATTTAACTTCAATTCTCTGGTACACAGATTTTGTTTTTAAAGTTTCTGAATGAGGAAAAGACCTACTGGTACAGCATAGGTCTGTTTGCCTGTCCTGATCTAACCAGTATAGCTAGGGCACAGGGTGACACAAACATAGCAGCTTCCTCAGCTGCTCTGCAGATTAAGAGTACTAAGAAGCTGGGCAGGTGGTACTGTGGTAATAATGATTTCAGAGCCAGTGCAGAGACTTAAGCAAGCAAAGTAAAACTTTTAAAATCAAATAGAAAGAAGGGAGCAAATGATATGTTACATATACTTTTTCTTTTCATACATATGTTTAGTTTTGCAGTGGCTCTTGGGATAAAATGCTAAAGATCTGGTCTGCAGGTAAGTTAAATATTTCTTTGATTTATTAATAATGTTTTCAAGAATTCAGTCAAAGGTTTTTTTTGTTTGTTTGTTTTTTGAGACAGGGTTTCGGTATGTAGTTTAGACTAGCCTTGAACTATGTAGTCCAGGCTGGTCTTGAATTTGCAACAATCCTCCTGCTTGAGCCTCCCAAGTGCGCGGATTACAGGTGTGTGCCACCATGCCCAGTGATGAGAGGATTTTTAAAATGCATATTTTGCCATATAAATACACCAGGTTTTTAAAGACGTACATAAAAGTATAGAGTGTGGGGCTGGGGATTTAGCTTAGTGGCACTGCACCTGCCTGCCTTGCAAGCACAAGGACCTGAGTTTGATCCCTGTTGTGGTGGTGGGGGACTAGTCTTTCAGCCAAAAGTGATAGTGCACACCCGTAATCCCAGCTCCTGGGAGTCTGAGACACGAGGATCACTTTGAGTTCAAGGTCAGCCTGGTCTACATAGTGAGACCCTATCTTAAAAAAGCAAAATAAAAATTATATAATAAAAACTAGTTTTTCAATGCAGTTTTACCAAAGTTAATAGTTTTACTTTGAAAATACAGATTAAAAGGAACCATTGAGAGAGGAAACAGGAAGAAAGACTCTTACAAGCAAATACCTTGATATTAGTAAGAGACACTGATGGGAAGAAAAGTGGGGGGAACCCAGAAATATTTAAACTTTAAAACACAGTAGCCGGGGATTTAGCTCAGTAAGCACAAGGACCCGAGTTCGATCCCCAGTACCAAAAAAACAAAAACAAAATGATTTCTTTAAAAAAAAAAAGAAGAAAGTGTTCAATACTAAAGAAGAAAAAAAACAGTAGCAAGAGGGACAAGGATTTAGCTCAGTGGTTTTACCACCTGCCTCATAAGCGCAAGGTCCCAAGTTCGATTCCCAGTACCAAAAAAACACATAATAGCAAGAGCTATTTATTGCACAGGTAAACAGACTAGAATATCTTCACTACTTCTGAATGATTTGCTATATTATGGTATAATACCCTTTAAGCAGTTTACAAATGAATAGAGAAGGGGGAAAAAAGTTTAATTAGTTTTGAATAGTCATGTGTCACATGACAGAAAACAATTCATTTTAGTAAATTTTACAAAAATTATTAGAGCAAATATTTTTGAGGAAAAAAGCAGTTTAGAAAGTTTTCTTGTCGTAGCTTTTTTTTTTTTTCCTCCAGTACCGGGATAGTACTCAGGACCTTGAGCTTGCAAGGCAGATGTGGTGCCACTGAGCTAAATCCCCAGCTGTAGTTTTTGTTTTGTTTTGTTTTGTTTTGTTTTATGCTGGATAAAGGAGATACATGTGATTAGCTGTTAACTTTAGGGGTTTTATAATCTAGTTAGGAAATCAGATTAATGTTGATAAAAGGTACAAAGCATTAAAGTCTGTAATTTTCGGTTGGGATTTGCTACCCAACTAAACGCTGTATGACAAAGATTTTTAAAACTAAAAAAATACTGGGGGAGCTTGGACATTGGCTCAGTGGTAGAGCACTTCTCAACTTGCAGGAGGCCCTGTATTTGATCCCCATTACCACAGAAACAAATCAAAATAATTTAGGAAGGCTTTTGTTTGATAGACAATAAAACAGCCAAAGGGACCGAATTTGCTGGAATATCTCCTTTTAACATGTGTTTACCTTATTACTTCCTACATTAACAAAAATGCAGTCTGGTCATGACTCCCAGAGTAAGCAGTTTTTTCATGCCTATAATACAGTAATCCATATTCATGATGATCATCTTGGAGATTTAGCAGGATTTCAAACTAGTTAGGTTTTAGTTTATTTTTTGCTCTTTTGTTTTGAAGATTGGTAATCTAGATATTGTTTTTTTATATACACCTTTCCTTTAACCACACAGAAAAAATGTACATTAAAAATACAGCAAATTCTTTCAGAAAGTTTGCAAATAATAGTCACTACATTTTTAAAGTATCAAATCTAATTCTTTCTGGTGCAGTCCCAACAGATGAAGAAGATGAAATGGAGGAATCCACAAATCGACCAAGAAAGAAACAGAAGACAGAGCAGTTAGGACTAACAAGGGTAGGTATTAACGAGAACTGACTGTTATTAGTTTAGGTCTGCTAAATATATGGGAATTTCATACAGTTCTCTGTTCCTATAAATTCTTTTTCCAGAATGTCACATAAGTGGAAAGACACAGTATATAGTCCTTTGCATTAGCCTTTTCACTTGGCATAAAGTATTTGAGCTTCATCCATGTTGTTGAGGCTATAAGTTGTTGGTCCCTGTTAAATGCTGAGTAGCATTCTAGTGTATGTAAATATACCACAGGTGGTTCAATCTTTCACAAGTTGAAGAGTATCTGGGTTGTTTACAGTTTGACAGTTATGAATAAAACTGCTGTCAAAGTTGATGTTCAGGGCCAGGGATTTAGCTTAGTGGTTCCTCTGCCTGCCTCACAAGTGCAAGGTCCTGAGTTCATGCCCTGGTACAAAAAAAAAAAAAAAAAAATTGATGTTCGAACCTATTTTCCTTTCTCTGGGATTACTACCTAAGAATGTGATAGCTTATTCATAGATATTTTCCTACGTTTTCTATTGTGTTGTATTCTATCCTAGAGGCTTCTGGTTACCTTTCTTTTGCCAGCCAGTCTGACTTTCATTTATTTTTATACTATAGAGAGTTAAGAATGTGTTTTGCATTGTTTTGTTTTTGTTTTCGAGACAGGGTTTCACTGTGTAGTTGAGACTGACCTGGAACTCACTATGTAGCCCAGGCTGGTCTCGAACTCACAGTGATCCTCCTGCCTCAGCCTCCCAAGTGCTGGGATTACAGGCGTGAGCCACCACGCCTGGCTGTGTTTTACATTGTTAAAGGGTTGTAAAACAAACAAAAATATGTAAGGGAAACTACATGTGGTCTGCAAAGGCTAAAGTATGTACTTGTTGGCTCTGTGTTGTAAAAGTTTGCTCCCTAATCTACATATCCCCTCTGTTACAGATCAGCTGGTATTAGAGGAGATTAAATATAACAGTTACAAAAGTAGACTGTCTCCCATTCTGGAATTCTTGTCCTCTCGGTTACATTCCTTGTATTTAAGAAAAGCACTGTGCCCAGTTCGGAGCTTTCAATTTGAGAAAGCTGTTAGAGATTCTGGAATATAATAAATGACCTATGGACATTACTTAAATATTAAATAGCTGGGTGTGGTGGTGCATACCTGTAATCCCAGCAGTTGGGAAGCTGAGACAGGAGGCTTGCCACAAGTTTGAGGCCAGGGTAGGCTACACAGTGAGTTCAAAGGCCAGCATGAACTGCATAGTGAGACTTTGTCTCAAAAAAAATTAAATAATAGATTTTAAAGATGATGAGGAGATGGAATGATGAGAATAGCATAATGAGGTTAATTTACCTGGAAGAGTCTTCTAGAAATTGGCAGCATCTTAACTCAAACCTAGATCTGTTTAACCCCAAAGCTTTTTCTACTGAGAAACATTCATTAGTGACTGATCCCAAGGGAGGACTCTCGTTGCATGAAGGATAGTAAAGATCAAAACTACCAACTTCAGGGCCAGGGATTTAGCTCAGTTCGGTGGCCTGCCTCGCAAGCGCAAGGACCCTGGTACCAAAAAAAAAAAAACAAAAAAAACTACCAACTTCAGGGATAGGAGTACAAATGCTTCTATCCACTACATCCTGGGCTGCAGTTTTACTAATTGCCTGAGTCCAGTGAGACAACACATTAACACATAACAAGTTATAGGAAGTAGAATTATCACAGAGAAGCACCAAGGGCCAACAGAATCCTAGGATCAATTGTAAGCTGGTCTTCTTTTTTTTTGGTACCAAGGATCAAACCTGGGTCCTTGTGCCTATGAGTCGGTTGGTGGTACCACTGAGCTAAATCCCTAGCCCTATAAGCTGGTCTTCTGAAGCTCAAGAAAACTCCCCACAGTGAATGGAATCTTGACTGTGTATGCCCACCTTTGCATGACAGCAGGTTTCTAAAAAGCAGCCAGCCCTGGTTTTATGCCTTGGAACTCACTAGGTAACGCTTTCAAGGACATCCTGTTTCTCCCAGGGGGGCTGGGACAGAACCAGTGTGTTCTGGTCAGGCCTTCCGTATCTCAGGATGTTGCATTCCTAACACATTCTATAGTTATTCTGAGAACTACAAGCAAGAAGAGTCAGCCTAAGGTTATATAAGGACTGTTCAGCAGTAACCTTTTAACCATTGAGAGAGTTGTTAGTGTTAACATTAATACTCTTCAAAATGAAAAATAGAAAAGATAAGGAAGCATCCGAATGGAGTGGAAAGACAACACTTTGGAATAATAGAACAAGCTATCTTTCTCAGCTTCAGGTATATCCATTTTAGAGGATTGTAAAGGAGAAAGGCAGCAAGATATCAAAATGAAAACACTTGGCAAAATATCTGACGTGGGCTTTGGAAGTTAATAACTACTATTATTGTTTTAATTAGTTTGAAATGAAAATGCTCTCTTTTATTTCTAGACTCCCATGGTGACCCTCTCTGGCCACACTGAAGCAATTTCCTCAGTACTATGGTCAGATACTGAAGAAATCTGCAGTGCATCTTGGGACCACACAATTAGAGTGTGGGATGTTGAGTCTGGCAGTCTTAAGTCAGCTTTGGTAAGACTTAATTTTAGTGATCCTGTTAACTTTGATCTTTTAAGTGATAAACTTCTAAAAATGTCTGCTGTTAGTCCCCTGTGGTTAAAAGTTATTTCCTTTTCTTTTCAGACAGGTAATAAAGTGTTTAATTGTATTTCCTATTCTCCACTGTGTAAACGTTTAGCATCTGGCAGCACAGATAGGCATATCAGACTATGGGATCCTCGAACTAAGGGTGAGTTATATAATCCACTGGGGGATGTAAAAATTTTTTTCTACAAATATTTTTTAGGATTGTTTTGCATACTTTTCTAAAATTTAGAAAATTTTTTTTCCTTTTTCAGATGGTTCTTTGGTGTCGCTGTCTCTAACCTCACATACAGGCTGGGTTACATCAGTAAAGTGGTCTCCAACCCATGAACAACAGCTCATTTCAGGCTCTTTAGATAACATTGTGAAGTTGTGGGATACAAGAAGGTAAATTCTAATTATACTCTATAAAACAAAGATTGATTAGTGTAGTGTACAAAATGAACATGAAATGTATACTGAAATGATTATCCAGACTCAGATGGGTAAAAAAAGTTTGATTATACTTGATAAATATGGTTATTCCAAAAAGGTAGAATCAAAGGATACTGTTTTTTTGTTGTTGTTCTTTGTGTGTGTGTGTGTGTGTGTGTGTGTGTTGTTTCGTTTTGTTTTGTTTTTGTTACCAGGGATTGAATTTAGGACCTTGCGCTTGCAAGGCAGGCAGTGGAACCCCTGAGCTAAATCCCCAGCCCTTAGAAGAATAAATTTTAAAAATATTTTAAAGATATTAAAGGAGTCTTTCTTACAGGCTTAGTGCTGTGATATGTATATATCGAATACCCACATAAAATGGGTACTCAACTTTATATATCTTTACAAAAGGAATGCGTTAACATACTTGTTTGTGTATTACTATTTTTCTTGACCTTAAATCTGGCTTCTCGGAGCCTTATACTACCTTATGATGCATGACATTAGTATTTAGGAGGTGAATACATTTTAATTGACATTTTGTATAGCAACTAATATATAGTGCCTTATAATAGTAATAAGTACTATGAAGAAAATAAAACAGGGTAAAGGGACACTTCTTTGGGGAAGGTCTCTTTGAAAATATTTTAGTAATGAATTATATAATGTGAAGGCATTAGCCCCACACATGCCATGGCAGAGGGAACAACAAATAAAATGGGAAAAATTTTGGCATAGTGGCAAAATAACAAGAAGGCCACTATTGATAGAATAAGCAAAGGAGAACATGGCAGGACAAAGGCCGGTAATGGTTAGTACCTGACGACCATGGTGATGAGTTTGGGTTTTCTTCTAAGGGTGATGGGAAGGCTTTGCAGGGTTTTGAACAGGGGAACGAGCTGAACCGAAGAGGCTATTGTAGTTCTAGACACAGGTAGTAGTGACGTTAGAGATGAATGGCAGGTTTTATTCTTAGGGACCAAGTGTGGAGACAGACACAAAGGATAATGTCCATATTTTATGAATGAGCAGTTGGGTAATTGGTGATGGCACTTATTGTAATGAGAAAGAGTAGATTAACAGGTTTGTAAGGTAAAATCAAGAGCTTTGATTTTTGTCATTTTAAATTTGTAGTGCCCCTCTAGCTATAAGGCAGTTGGATGTACATATCAAGCTCAGGGGAGAAATTTGGGCTGAGAATGCAAATTTAGGAGTTGTCATATTTTGGCTGGAGAGAGGTTACATAAAGTTTCGCTTTGGGGATAAAAGTGAGGGCAGTGTGAAAATGGGCCCAATTATGGTTAAATTTTTATAATTAATTTTTCTGTAAGTATTTGTTATAATAAACATCTGTAGTCTAGAAATGATATAGGGGGGCCGAGGATTTAGTTCAGTGGATCCACTGCCTGCCATACAAGTGACATAGGAAAAACAGGTGAAATGGGCAGAACTCAGAATGTTCAGATGAAATGGTTATTGGGACAAAGATGATAACTGTATAGTTTTCAGAAAAGTATGTGATTATTCATGTTTAATACTGTGAATGCGTACAGCATGTTGATATTTTCATCTTTTAGCTGTAAAGCTCCTCTCTATGATCTGGCTGCTCATGAAGACAAAGTTCTCAGTGTAGACTGGACAGACACAGGGGTAAGAATCTTAGTTATTTGATGAAATGGCAAATATATTATTAAAATAAATCTGGTATTTGTGTGTATGAAAGCATTCGTTTTAAGATATCTAATTTGTATAGTTCTGTTTACTGCTATAAAACCTCATTCAAAGAAGAAACAAATCTGTTCTCTAATAGTAGTAAAAAGCAGTTTTTTCCTGAGAATGTCAAACATTTTAAGCCTATAAACTATTTCAGATTAATCAGATCAAAGTAATTCCCAATTAGAATATCTTTTATAATAAAGATTATAAAATGTGTTTAAACTGGGCATGGTAGCATATACCTGTAATACCAGCACTGTGTAGCAGAGACTGAGGCAAGATCAAAAGTTTGAGTCCAACCTGGGCATCTAATGAAAACATTTCTCAAAACAAACAGGAAAAGCTGAGGGATGTAGTTTAGTGCAAAGGCCGTGGGTTTCATCCTGTGCTGCAAAAAGAAACAAAGTGTTTAAATTGGGGTACATGACTGTAATCTTAGCAGTCAGAAAGCTGAGGTAGGAGGATCTTGAGTTTGAGCCAGCATGGGCTACATAGTAATTTTTCATTTTTTTGGTTTTTTGGTTTTTTGGGGTTTTTGGGGGGTTTTTTTGTTTGTTCGACCAGGGATCGAACTTTGGTCCTTGTGCTTGCAAGGCAGGCACGAGAACCACTGAGCTAAATCCCCGGCTATACACAGTAATTTTGAGGTCAACCTGAACTATGTAAGCAATACTCTGAAAAAATAAAAAAACAAAGTCAGTTTAAAGAATTACAATTAATTTTTTTTAAATGTATATAGATAAGCTTTTGTGGCTTAAGAACTCTTTCCACATCCAAGTTCTTGGGCTACTTGAATAATTTGCAGTGTACATTGCAAATAGTTAACATACTATCCTTCAAAAACTTGATTTTCTAGCCAGGCATGGTGGCGCACACCTGTAATCCCAGCGCTTGGGAGTTTGAGGCAGGTGGATGGCTGTGATTTCGAGACCAGCCTGGGCTACATAGTGAGTTCCAGGGCAATCTGAACTACATAGTGAGACCCTGTCTCTAAAAACAACAAAAAAAACCTTGATTTTCTTAGGTAAAACTATATTATTTTACAATTATTTTATTACAGATCTTAGCAAATGCTTCATAGAAAACACAATAGCATACTGTGCCTCAACTAAATTCAAATGATCACTTTTATTTATGTTTTAATGTACTCTGTCAAAATACAGGTTGAGTGTCCCTTATCTGAAATGCTTGGGAGCAGAAGCATTTTGGATTTTGGATTTTTTTCAGAGTTTTCACATACATGAAATATCTTGGAAATGGGACACAAAGTCTAAACATGAAATTCCTCTTTTAAAATGTTTTTATTGCTTTTATTATTTTATAAATGTTTTTATATACATATATATATATTATATAGTGATACATACTATATCCATCTTGAGGAATTGGTACATATGTATATTGAATCTTTTCTTTTTTCATATACACCCTATATGCACAACCTGACAGATTTTATACAATGTTTTTAGTGTTCCTACATTGTGGCTGTGACCCATCTCGTGGAGTCTCATATCGTTTTCCACCCGTAGCATCATTTGGCCTTCAGAAGGTTTTGGATTTTAGAGCATTTTGATTTGTGGGTTTTGCTTGTTCTGTTTTGGTGCTTGTGATTGAACCCAGAGCCCTCAAGTGCTGAGCATGTGTTCTACCACTAAACTGCATCCTTAAACCAGACTGCAGATTTTTGGGTCAGGGATACTCAGCCTGATAGAAGTGAAACTTAACTAGAATTTGTACTTTAAGTATTTTCAATGCTAGTTACCTACTGATCCGTAATTCTTTTGCAGTCATCAGTATTTAATTAGGTTGAACTACTATTTGAAATAATTATATTTGATTACATTTTTATTTATTTTTCTCTCTTTGTACAGTTACTTCTGAGTGGAGGAGCAGACAATAAATTATACTCCTACAGATATTCACCTACCACTTCCCATGTTGGGGCATGAAAATGATGATAATTTAATTATGGAGATTCTAAAAATGAAATTGGTAGAGAAGTATCATAATATTTATACAGATGCAAAAAGTAGCCTTTTAAAGCTTACATATTTTCACCTTTCATAACAGCTAACATCACTTTCTTTGTATTTACAAAATATGGTATGTGGTCTACATTCTTTACCCTATACAAACTCTAGAAATTAAACTTTTACAATTTCTTTTTAAAGGTATTGGTTGGAATTAAGATTTGCTTTTCATATACTGTGAAAGAATACAAATACAGGAATCAGTTGTCCAGATTTTTCTGTTCAAGAAATTTGGATTTTTCCATTAGCTGTTTTTTTTTTTTAAAGTATCTAAAAAAGACTAATAAAAACTCGTACAATGAAGAAAATTAGAAATCAGAATTCCTTTTGGTAAAATAATACTTAATGATAAGATTTTGTAGGCATTCAGAACATTAAAAGATGTCGATAATTACTATTAAGAAGCAATTGAGAGACATGGATTTAGCTCAGTGGTTCTGTCACATGCCTTGCAAGCACAAAGTCCCACGTTCGATCCCTGGTACCAAAAAAAAAAAAAGTCACTGAAAGCTGGGCGAGATGGTGCACACCTGTAATCCCATCTGCTCAAGAGGCTGAGGCAGGAGAAACGCAAGTTTGAGGATAGCTTGGACAACTTAATGAGAGCCTGTCTCAAAGGGAAATTTTGTTTGGTTTTTGAGCCAGGTTCTCGCTGTGTAATCCAGGCTGGCCTTGAACTCATCATGACAATCCTCCTGTCTCAGCCTCCTAAGTGCTGGGATTACAAGCATGTGCCACCATGGCTAGCATCCAAAATAAAATTTTGAAAAAGTATGCATGAGGCCCTGAGTTTATGTTTTAGGTCTATTAGAAAATGTGTACAAATTTCATGATAACTAGGAATTTTTTCTCTAACCTATCCTCGTATGTATATTTGGTTTGTTTTTTGAGACAGGGTCTCTCTACGTAGTTGAGACTGACCTGGAACTCACTATGTAGCCCAGGCTGGCCTCGAACTCATAGCAATCATCCTGCTTCAGCCTCGCGAGTGCTGGGATTACAGGCATGTGCCACCATGCCAGGCTAAAGCCTGTCAATATTAAACAGCCTACAAATTTAATATTAGTATTTGTTTTTATGCATATGTTGTCGTAAATATCTTTTTAAAATATAACTTCCATCTTTAATGGATCAGTATTCCTCAAGCAAAGCTCTTACATCTTTATATAGGAAATAAGTTTTGTCTTATCATTGTACTATAATACATTGTACTATATCTCAAATGATGCTTCTCCCACAGTGGTCTGGGAAACACCTATATCTGAGAGCAGTTGATAACTACATTAACAGTGGATTGAACCAGTTAGGATTTTAGTTCTCTTCTATGTAGAAGTCCAGAGGCAGTTCATGCTTGGAATAGTGGACTTTTTTTCTTGCCTCCTTTAAGGACCCAGGCTCCCTGCAACCCTAGGATATGGTTCTCATTTTCCCATAATCAAGAGTTAGAGCTCCAGTTATCAAGTCATTTCTTCAAACATATTTTAATTCCAAAAATTTGAATAAAAGTAGCTAAAATTCACAAAGTCTTTTTTTTTTTCACTTTGTGCTGACTAGTGTAAATTCCATCCCTTTTGTAGCGTGGGGACTACAGTCTTTGTCAGAGAACAAAGATGAATTCATAGTCCTATTTTGAATGGTCTCTAAGCCTTAAGGAATAATTATTTAAAATTTCTTAACTTGCCTAACCTGGGCTGATTGTGATACACATAGATTAGGTGGTTAAAGTAAAGATAAAGGCTTACTTATCAAACGCAATGGAAAAGAAGAAAATGATACCTATAACTAACTGATCCCTCGTCTTTCTCATTCCTAGTTCCACAGGAATGTGGGGAGATGGCTCAGGCATTCTCCCTTGGGATAGATACAACATTAGTGACCAGATCCCTTAAAGAAAGATTGTCTCTGATCCATCTCTGCCAAACTTCTCTTTTTCAGTAACTCAAGTGCTTAGATCTTATTCCCTGAACAGGAAGAATATGAGATGCCTACAGAACCCTAGATGCTCCAGTGCTCATGTGAATATATTGCTCTTTTTTTTTTTGGTTTTTTTGAGACAGGGTCTCACTATGTAGTTGAGATTGTCCTGGAACTCACTATGTAATCCAGGCTGGTCTCGAACTCAGAGCAATCCTCCTGCCTCAGCCTCCCGAGTGTTGGGATTACAGGCGTGCGCTACCATGCCCGTCTCCTAATATATTGCTCTTTTTTCTCAAAAATCAAGAGTCTGCTTTTCAGTAGTATCTTTCCTTCCAGCAAAGGATGCAGTTATACCAGAGGCAGGGGCTTTACACTCATTTGCTCCTACGATTCACTTGAAGAAATGAGTGGAGCTGTTTTCCCAGCACGGGGAAAGCTGACCTATGGGAATATTTATGCTATCTTGCCATAGAAATGGAGTTCATAAATATATCGATATCTGCTTTTTTACTGCATGTAGCAAAGAAATGCCATTTCCTACTGTGTAACAACTTACTAAATTTGAAAGCCGGGCCTGATGGCTCATGCCTGTAATCCCAGCACTCGGGAGGCTGAAGCAGGAGGATCACTGTGAGTTCAAGAGCAGCCTGGGCTGTACATAATGAGTTCCAGGTCAGTCTCTACATAGTGAAACCCTGTCTCAACAAAACAACAAAAACAAACAACAACTTACTAAATTTAAAGTTAGGCTCAGGGGCTAAGGATAGAGCTCATTGGAAAAGCAGGTGTTTAGGATGTTGTAAGGTCCTGAGTTTGATCCTCACCACCAAAAGTAAATAAAATAGGCTGAATATGCCTAATTTTATAAATCAAGGAAAAAAGTTGAACTGTTATACACTAGAATCTCTGCTGAAATACAGAAAAGGGAAAAAACCACAGTGTATAATATATGTGAACACTACCTTCAAAATACAACACAATTTATAATAGCTAAGTCTTGGTAGCAGCCTAAGTGTCTATCAACAAATGAATGGATAAAGAAAATGTATTTATACACAATGGAATACTACACTGCTGCAAAGAGGGATAAATGAGTTATGTGTAGGAAAACATGCACTTTGAGATATAAGTAGATCAGACACACAAGCTTAAATATTTCATGGTTTCTCTTACATGACAACCCCAGTATATAAACAAAATGCAAAATAAAAGATAATAGAAAAACATTACATTCACATGATAGATAATCAATAAAATTTTAGCTACATAGTATCCTAAATGCAAAGAAAGACATAAGATAGAAATGTAGCATAGAAAAGGCAGCTCTAGCATTGTAGAATGCTGGCTATCAAGAAGGACCCTGAGGGCCGGGGATTTAGCTCAGCAGTTCGGTGGCCTGCCTTGCAAGCGCAAGGACCTGAGTTCAATCCCCGGTACCAAAAAAAAAAAACAAAAACAAAAAAAGAAGGACCCTGAAAAAAAAGGACCTTTTAGAAAACTGACATTTGAGTCAGGTTGGGTAGATCATTAGGGGAATAGTGAAGCTGTAGGTTATTTTTAGCAGAGGGAGAGAGACATAGGAGCGTCCAAAATAATTTCTCAAATACTATGAGGAAGATGTGGAATAATGTTCTTACACTGGTAAATTTTATTTTCCTTTTAAAGTCACCTTCAAAATCTTTTCATAGGAGGGCCAGGGATTTAGCTCAGTGGTTCTGCTGCGTGCCTCACAAGCACAAAGACCTGAGTTCAATCCCTGGTACAAAAAAAAAAAAATCTTTTCATAGGATGATACTTTTACTTGGAAAACAGGAAGTCAAAACTTTGCTGTGAAGATTACTCAAAGATTATTAAAGTAGAAACTTCCTTAAGAATTTCTATTCTACATGAGGGCCAGGGATTTGGCTCAGTGGTTCACCGCCTGCCTCGCAAGCACAAGGGCCTGAGTTCAATCCCCAATACAAAAAAAAAAAATTCTACATGAATATAAAAAGCATTTCCTGCTGGGGATTTAACAGTGGTGCCGAGCCTGCCTCACAAGCACAAGGTCCTGAGTTCCATCCCCCCCAAAAAAAATATTTACTATGTATGTCCTTTTCCTTTTAATTTAGGATTCCATTTTGGTTTTTTGTTTGAGACAAGGTCTACCTAAGTAGTTCAGGCTGGCTTTGAACTCACTATGTAGCTCAAGCTAGCCTCAAACTCCTGGCAATCTTGTCTTAGCTTCCCAAGTGCTGGGATTATAGGCATGCACCAACCTAGGGTTCTATTTTGGAATTGTTATCAACACTAATAATATATCTAAATGTTTCTTGGCATTGGGGAAAGGACAGAAGAATGTTTGATATAAAATGTACCTAATTGCATAACTGAACAAATAGCCCTACAAGACAAGTACCACCTGTACATTTCTAGTAACAACACTGAAATCTGTTCATGGTAGCCTAAACCTTTTGATGTACACTCATTTTGAAAAATCAGTTGCTTATGGATAGGAAAAATAGTATTAATATTTACTATAACTGATTCTTTTCTGGGAGGGGGTTACTAAGGATTGAACCCAGGGTCTTTATATACTGTTACATCCCCCAACCTCCCTGCCCCCCAGCCCCTTTTTGAGACAGGATCTCACTGTTTGTTTTTTGTCCAGGTTGAGCTCCAATTTGTGATCCTCCTGCATCAGCCTCCCAAAATGCTGGAATTATAGGTGTGCACCACCATGCCCAGCTATAACTAATTATTAAAGGAGAAAAATGACATTTTAAGACCATGTGTAAAGGATAGCCAATTAATACCTTTTTAGAAATATTAATAGCTACAAATTAGAATCAGGTTTCATTAGGCATGAGAAATCTGTTTTGCTAGTTAAACTGCCAGGTATAAAAGTGGCAGGATGCCTGTAATCCCAGTACTTGAGAGGCTGAGGCAGGAGGATCACTGCAAGTTTGAGGCCATCCTGGGCTCCATAGTGAGAGCGAGACCTTGTCTCAAAAAACCAGGACTTTTAGCCACTTTTAATTCATTATTGTAGACATCAAATATCAAATATAATGTTAGTATTTTGTTATATGGACCAAATATATCTTTAATGTTACAGTAGTAAAGTTTTTAGTTGGTTGATTGGGTTAATACAATTGGGCTACCATATCAGCAATTCATTGATTTTGCAGATTTAAGGAAGTAAATTATTTTTTAATAT